GGCTTCCCCCCAGGTAGGGGTGAGGGAAGGATGAAGCTCTGCGGGTGCAGGTCCCCATCACCACCAGCACCCAGGACCTACTGGTTGTCCTCTCTGGCAGCGTGCAAGGAAAGAGAGATGGGGCACGGCCCCCCCCCCGTTAGACACAGTGAGCCCCACGGCACAGGGGTGGGCCCCCCACCTTGGCTCAGCCGGGGTCCCCGCGCTCCCTATGGGGCTCAGAGGCAGGATGTGGCCAGGCAGCAACAAACTGAGGACACCATGGAGGGGACAGGCAAGGGGGGATGGAGCCCCTCTACCCCCAAAATCCCCCCCCAACACAAGGGGGATGGGCACAAACAGCCACAGGAGACACCACTGAGGACACGGCCACAGAGACCCCCCCAGCTGACCCCCACTTTGGGCCATGTGGGACCCCCCATCCATCCCTGGGGGCCTTACAGTGTTTGGTAGGTGCTGTCCTTCGACTTGATGAACTTGATGATGAAGAAGACCACAGCCTGCATGCTGAGCACCAGCACGATGCCACCGATGAAGCTGGCCGTGTCGAAGCCAGGAGGGTGGAACTCGGGGCTGCCTGTCAATGGGGCGCTGGTGCTGGTGGTCCCTAATGGACATCAGGGATGGGGGGGTTATGGGAGCTGTTGGCATCCATGAGTAGCCACGCTCCCGCCAAGGAGAGGGGATTCAGGGTCCACATGGGCCCCCGTGGCTCCATGGGGAGGGAGGGTTGGATGTCCCCAGCAGCACATGGGTGCAGGGACAGGCTCAGCCCTTCCCATGCTGGAGCAGCGCATGGGAGAGGAGCCAGCAGCAAAAGGAGCCCGATGGGATCAATAATTCAGAGGGCTCCGGGCTCCGGTTACCGGCTGTAATGAGCCCAGTGCTCTCCAGTTCCCATTTCCTGGAAGAGGCTCCTGCTCCATGCCCAGCCCCAGCTCCAGACATGTCTCTTGCAGCGGGGAGGGCCGCAGGGCTGGTCCCTGGTGGGCTGCAGGGTGTGACCCCCCCGGCCCCATCCTGCCATCGCTGCAGCACTGCTTAGGGCAGAGGGGGGTGTGGGACAGCGCTGTGACACGGGGCCAGTGCTGGTAGCGTGAAGCTCCATGGGTGCCGCTCCAAGGGTGGCTCTGCTCACACATGGAGGGAAGCAGCTTGTCCCACCCCACTGTGCCCAGGGACACCCGAACCCCCCAGCCCCACTCACTCGGTGCATGTGTCGTTGGTGGCTCCTTGCCGTGGGACCGTGGAGGCTCTTCAGTGGGGGACCTCAGCACTGCCCGAGGATGGAGCAGAGGGAAAGGGATGTCAGGGGGTACCGCTACATCCCATTGCCTTGTGCCGGGGGGAGATCTCAGCCCCACGGGGGGGGTGCTGCTGGGTCTGGGGGTGCTGCTGGGGTTACCTCGGCACTGGGTGCTGGTGTTGTAGAGCACACAGGTTTCCCTCGCAGCCGCCCCTCTCTGCATGCAGCTCCCCTTCTCTGTGGGAAGAGGAGCAGGGTTTTCCTAAGGAGCCCCCCAGTGAGGGTTTGGGATGGGGAGAGCTCATTCCCAGGGGTGGGCACCCGTCTGGGGGTCACCTCCCATAGGGGAAAGCCCCACAGAACGGCTTTGTAAACAGCTCTTTTCCCCCATCTCCATCACTTGGTGCTGCTCCACCAGCATCTCCATGGAGGGTTCCCAGAGTTGCCCCGAGCCCAGCACAGCCACTGGGTCCCCTGCTCCCACCAGGATGGGTCAGAGGAGATGCACATTGACCATGGGAAGCAGCCCAGTAGCGGGGGCTGGGGGAGCCCCTCAGTGCCCAGCCCCAGCCCAAGCCCCTCACCTGGCTCCTCGGGGGTCCCACAGCGCACCCAGACGCAGCCGGTGCTGTTGTGTGAGCTGGGGCTGCCCGTGCAGGTCTCACAGAGCTCCAGCTCGCTGCACCCTCCTGCCAAGGCCAGGGGAAGGGGTGAGGCAGAGCCAGCACCCGTCCCCCCTCAGCTGGGATAGGGCTGGACCCTCTGCTCCGTGAAGGAAGACTCCTTAGGATGCAGCAGGAGGGATGAGGACGCCTCTCGCAGCACCAACCCCATTAAACTCATCCCAGGATGAAGGTGCATCTGGAGCACCTCTATAGAGGGAGTACCATGCACCCCACAGCACCCACGGCCACGTAGGGCTCGCCCCATCACCCCGGCCATGGTCACTTGGGTGCTCTGAGGTGCCCTGCCTTGAGCTCATCATTAATTTACAGGGCTCTCACAGGGAGGCTGCAGTGGGGAGCTGGGCCCGGGCCCTGCCTGCACCTCGCTGCATCCCACGCCTGCGCTGAGATCCATCCCCACCCTGGACACGATCCCCCCTGCCCAGCACTCGCACCCCGTCCCAAGGGGTCTTTTGCCACGCAGGAACCACCCCAACCTTGTTCTTGCTCCCCCCCCATCCCCTCCATGCAGTGAGCTTCCCACCGCACCACTCCTTTGGGGTGCACAGGTCCGGCCCCCCCCTCATGCCCACTGATAGAAGCCGTTGCCTTCTCCCGAAGCAAAGGGGGTCACTGGTGGCATAAGGCACGGAGCAGGATGCTGTGGACACAATGCACCGTGGGGGGCACAGCGCGGGTGTCCCCCCCCCATCATTGCCGGGAGCCAATGGGGAAGTGGGGCTTTGTTCACGAGGGTTTCAGGCAGGTTTGGGATTGAAGTTATTTTTACCGCGGCAGGCGCAGGAGCAGACGCTGGAGCCCAACGCCGGCAGCTCCCGCTCCTGCCCTCAGGTGTGCGGAGGGAGCAGAACGAAACGGGGGCAGCCGGGGACAGCCCCGGCCCTTGGGGGGCGGGAGGACGGAGCGGGGGTCAAAGACAATTCCCACCCGGAGTTACCCGCACCCGGGGCAGGAGGGCGCCGGCTCCCAACCTGACCCCCCCGGACCCCGCTTGTCCCGCAGTGGGGGGAACCCCCAAGCCCTGTGGGGGTTCCGGTCCCCCCGAGTTCCCTCTCCCCAAACCCGGAACCAACCGCTGGAAAGGGGCTCCCCATCGCGGATGCGGGGAGGTCCCGCGGGGGTGAGGAGCGAGGGGAGCAAAGAAGACCCCCCCAAAAGTTCATCTGTCCCAAAGCTCCCAACTCCTCCCGCTCACCCCCCCCCCCCCCCCGGCCCGGCCGTACCTGCGCGGGAGGGCGCTGGGCGCTGCGCCCATAGCAGCGCGCACAGCAGCGCGCAGCGCAACGGCGAGGCCATGGCCCGGCGCGGCTCAGCCCGGGCCCGGCGGGAGGTGTCGGGTGCGGAGCGCAGCGAGAGCGGAGCGGAGCCGCGGGCAGATGCGCGCCCGCGGGAGGCGGCCCCGCGGGGGGGGGAGCGCGGGGAGAGGCGGCCCCGTCCCGCCTGGTCCCGCCCCGCTCCGCCCCGGGAGGCCCGGGCACGGCGAGGGGGGCTCCGGCGGTGCCTGCCCCGTTATCCCCCCTTATCCCCCATTATCCCCCGTTATCCTCCCATCACCGTCCCACCGTGTGCGCGCTGCAGTGACGGGGGGGAAGCCCCTGTCCCGGGGGGGCTGCACCCTCGACACGCAGTGCATACACTGCACTGGATGCACTGCACACACTGCTCACTGTGTGTGCACTGCCCTCACCGCACGTGGGGTGCGCCGTAAGACACACTGCACACTGCCTGTGCACTGCACTGTGCTCACTGCACTCACTGCTTGCCCTGCACGCTGCCTGTGCACTGCACTGTGCTCACTGCACTCACTGCTTGCCCTGCACACTGCCTGTGCACTACGCTGTGCTCACTGCACTCACTGCATTCCCTGCACACTGCCTGTGCACTACGCTGTGCTCACTGCACTCACTGCATTCCCTGCACACTGCCTGTGCACTGCACTGTGCTCACTGCACTCACTGCTTGCCCTGCACACTGCCTGTGCACTGCACTGTGCTCACTGCACTCACTGCTTGCCCTGCACACTGCCTGTGCACTACACTGCACTCACTGCATTCCCTGCACACTGCCTGTGCACTGCACTGTGCTCACTGCACTCACTGCTTGCCCTGCACGCTGCCTGTGCACTGCACTGTGCTCACTGCACTCACTGCATTCCCTGCACACTGCCTGTGCACTACGCTGTGCTCACTGCACTCACTGCATTCCCTGCACACTGCCTGTGCACTACGCTGTGCTCACTGCACTCACTGCATTCCCTGCACACTGCCTGTGCACTGCACTGTGCTCACTGCACTCACTGCATTCCCTGCACACTGCCTGTGCACTGCACACCCTGCGCACTGCACTCACTGCTTGCCCTGCACCCTGCCTGTGCACTGCACACCCTGGGCACTGCACGCACTGCCTGCAGGCTGCACTCAGCGCAGTGACCGAGCACTGCACTCACCGCTCCATCTCTCTCCGTGCCCGGGGCACCGCGACCCCCCCAGGGGGTGCCTCCGCCGCTCCCCCCCGGGGCGCGGACACCGAGCTGCGGGTGGGAACCGGCCGCCTTCAGCACCGCGAACAGCTCCCGCCGGGCCGGCCCGAGCCGAGCCCCGTCCCTCTCCGGAGGCTCCCGACCCCCGCGGGGCCCCGCCCCGCTCCCATCCCGCTTTGGCAGCGGGGCCGGGATAGCCCCCCCCCTCCCCCCCCCGGGATGCTCAGCTCCGGGCTTCGAGGAACTGAAGAGGGGGGACGCGTCCCGGCACTGTCCCGGGGGTGAGGACGCCTCTTCCCCTCCTCCCCCTCCTCGCTGCCAGCCGCCTTCCCGAACCAACCCCCCCCAGCCCTTCCCGCTTCTCCCGTCCTTGAATGATTTATCCCCTCATGGGAAAGCCGTGGCGGAAGAGGGGGGGGGGCGGTGGTGGTGATGCTGAACCTCCTTTTGTGCTGGGGCGGGGGAACCCCCGTTTCTCCCCGGGCCGCCCCCTTCATACCCCATGGAACCCCCAAACCTCTGCAGCGCGGGGGGAGGCACAAGGGACGGCCCCTCCTCTGCATGGGGGGTGCGGGGGGCCCCGGGTGGGGGACAAGGGTGGACGTAGGAGGGACGCGGGGGCGGCGGGGGGCCGGGGGGGCTCTGTTTTTATGAATGAGCTGCTCCAGCCCCGATGCGATTACTATGCGGCGCGCCTCACAGGGCGCTGATTGGCTCCGGCGCGTCATTGACGTCACAGAAGGAGAATGGGGAGGGGGGGGGGCGGTGAGTCAACCCTCTCCCCCTCCCCATCACCCCCAATTCGCCCCCCCCCGGCGGGGCTCGGTCACTATAAATCGGCAGCGCCCATGGCAGCGGCGCCCGGCGCCGGGCTGAGCATCCCGGCAGGTGAGTGACCGGCACCGGGATGTGGGGGGCACCGGGATGGGGAGAGCACCTTGATGTGTCCTGGGAGGGAGTAAAGGGGGATTCCACCTGTTGGAGGGCTGATGGTGGTGCTGGGATGGGGCCGATCCCATTCACCTGCTGCTCGGGTTTCCATCAGTTGGGTCCCGAAGCCCCGGGGATGGGCAGTGGAGGGATGTAGGTGCTGTGTTTATCCACCTAAACCGTGCAGTGCCCAAGCCCCTGCAGGCAGAGCGCTAGGGGGTAGGGGGATGTGTTGTGCCCCCCCCCCCCTTTATTCATATATTGGTTTTATTTGCTTGCAAATGAATTAAAACCAACCAAACGCCCCCTCCAGGAGCAAACATCTCTCAACACACAGCGCTCTGCCCCCTTGCTGGGCACAACTGGGGGGGGGCACCCTGGGTCTGGTGTCCCCCCAGAAGTTGGAACTAGGTGAGCTTTAAGTGGGTGGCTCTATGAAAAACCCTGCCTGGATGTGGGGTGACAACATGGGGACCCCATGGGCCCTGGTGTGGGTGGTGGGCACTGAGGGCTGCCCTTGTTCTCCAGCAGCATGATGGGGGAAAAGCCCCCCAACTCCAGCGACAGCCATCAAAGCTGGTCGGCAGCCAGGAACAGCAGCAGCAGCTCCTTGGACTTGGAGTCGGTGGTGCAGCCCCTTGCCTTGAACCCATGGGATGTCGTCCTCTGCATCTCCGGGACCATCATCTCCTGCGAGAACGCCGTTGTGGTGGTGGTGATCTTCTACAGCCTGGCTTTCCGGGCTCCCATGTTCCTCCTCATTGGCAGCTTGGCCACAGCAGACCTTCTGGCTGGGTTGGGCTTGATCCTGCACTTTGCCTTTGTCTACTTCATCCCATCGGAGGTGATCAGCCTGCTCACCATGGGGCTCCTGGTCACCTCCTTCATTGCCAGCGTCAGCAGCTTGCTGGCCATCACCATCGACCGCTACCTGTCCCTCTACAATGCCCTGACCTACTACTCAGAGAGGACAGTGACCAGGACTTACCTCATGTTGATCCTCACCTGGGGAGCCTCCATTTGCTACGGGCTCCTGCCCATCATGGGCTGGAACTGCCTGAAGGAGCCCTCTGCCTGCAGCATCGTCAAGCCCTTGACGAAGAACCACCTCATCATCCTCTCAGTCTCCTTCTTCATGGTGTTTGCGGTGATGCTGCAGCTCTACATGCAGATCTGTAGGCTCATCCGCCACCATGCCCACCAGATTGCCCTCCAGAGACACTTCCTGGCCACTTCCCACTATGTCACCACCCGGAAGGGCATCGCCACCTTGGCCATCATCCTGGGCACTTTTGCCTCGTGCTGGCTGCCCTTTGCCATCTACTGCCTGCTGGGGGATCACAGCTACCCGGCCCTCTACACCTACGCCACCCTCCTCCCCGCCACCTACAACTCCATGATCAACCCCATCATCTACGCCTTCAGGAACCAGGAGATCCAGAGAGTGCTGTGGGCCGTGTGCTGCGGGTGCTTGTCCTCCACCCTGCCCTTCCGCTCCTGCTCCCCCAGTGACGTCTGACGCAGCCCGGCCCCGTCAGCCCCCTTCTCATCCCCTTGGAATCAGGCAGCTCTTCCCATCCCCGTCCTTTTGGGCTTCTCCTCTTCTATTTCCCCACTTTTGGAGTTGACAAGAAGAAAAGGATATTTTCTAGCTGTGATATGTATATGGGGTGGGGGAATCCTCATAGTTTCTTTACATCTACTGATGATGCTTTATTTTTCTAAGGGGGGACGTTCTTTCACCTCTTGTTTTACAGCCTCGTTCTTTACATCAGAGAACGAATCTGTTTTGTACATTAGGGACACGCACTCGCAGGAGGGGGTCTCAAACCCACCCCTTCTCCCATCCATCCGCTCATTTATTAGCTTTAATTAGCATCCAATGTGACTCTAGCACCTCCCTCCTGCCAGCTCAGCGCTGGGGGCTGCTGCCCTCTAGTGCTCGCTGCCTTTGGGTCCCCCCTCGCAGCGCTCCCCTGCCAATGCCTTTGCACTGGGGCTGCATTCGTACATGGGGGTGATGGGGACCCTGCGGCGGGTGCTCACAGTGGGGGGGGGGGGGGATGCTTCTTGTTTACAGCCATTGGGGAAGGGGGGAATAAAAGCGGTTTGTGATACGAGGAGCTGCGGCTGGTGATGGGATGGGGGTGTCATGGGGGTTGGGGTCCTATGTTGTCACCCCACATCCAGGAAGTCTTCTCATAGAGCCATAGGTTTGGGATGAAGGGACCTTGAAGGTTTCCTGCAGCCCCTTCAGGCACTGGAGCTGCTCTAAGGTCTCCCCTTCAGGAGCCTTCTCTTCTCCAGGCTGCCCCAGCCCAGCTCTCTCAGCCTGGCTCCAGAGCAGGGATGCTCCAGCCCTCGCAGTGGCTCCGTGGCTCCAGCAGCTCCACGTCCCCCTTGTTTTCCTCGCTCCTGGTTCAGAAATCCCAAGCGACAGCACTTCCCCCTCCCATCACATCCTGTTAGCAGCAGCCGGCCCCTGGGGAGCCTTCCCCATCCTCATCCTCATGGCACCCAGCAGGCAGAGGGGCCGCAGCTGGCCTGGGGCTGTTAGTGCTGCCTCCATCACACCCCAGCCCTGCTCCTGGTGCAGGCTCTGCCCAGTACCCCATGGCTTATGCTGCAGGAGACAGAGCTCAGATGAGATGTGAGATTCCCATTGCTGCTCCCATGCCACAAGGTTAACGATGGCAAAGCTAATTAGGGCAGCTCAGCCTCTCTGTGCCCCATGCCCCTGGCCACCCCATCAGGAAGCAGAACTGAGTGCTGTGATGGGGTTATGGCAGCAAAGCATCGAGATGGGGGGATGGGGCTGGGCTCAGCACTGGGAACAGGAAATTTGGGAGTCCCATAGTCCCCACTGAGATTGAGTCCAGGAGAAAGAGGCAAAGCCCAGGGGTTGAAGCCCCCCATGTCCTGGCCCATCCATCCATCCATGAACCCATCCATCCCCCATCCCTCTCTCTGCAGTGAGAGGTGCTGTGATTGATTCCCAGCCCTGCTTTAGTCACAGGCAGTTGGTGCCTGCCACCTCCCTTGAGCACTGGGTGACACCGGTGCTGGGGGTGAAGGCAGGTCCATGCAGGGCTGCTGGTGGGATGGGACGGGGTGGGTGGTGGGATGGGCTCCCCAGACTCACCTGGGGGACAGTCCAGCATCAAAAGCCCCCCCAGATCCCAGCCCCGTGTCACATCAGATCGAGGGGCCAGGCCCCTCATACCCATCCGCTTGGCTCCCTGCTGCCAACAGCCATTGTGGGGCACGTCCTGGCTGGAGAATGCATCCTTCAGCTCCTACCTGTGTCCAGATCCCTCCTGCCAGCACAGATGAGGAAAGCCGAGTCTGGATGAGGCCGGGACCCTGCCACAGTGCTGGGTGCTCTCCTGTTACAGCAGTGAATCCAGAGCCATTCCCAGCTGCTCCAGGCCTTTGGGGAATGCAGCAGGGCCAACAGCCCACAGCAGGGCCCAGCCTGCTCTGCTCTTGGGTGGAGAAAGATGCTGAAAGGCATCACCCAGCTGTGAGACACATCTGGCAGCCCTGCCCAGCACATGCTGTAAGCCATAGGAGCCTCCTGCCTCCAAGCTGGGGGCTCTGGGCAGCCCTTGTCCCCTTGGTCACAGCTCTTTGCCCCCCTGTCAGGAGCAGCGATGTGGGGCAGAGTTAAGCCCCATGGCCAGGCTGGGAATGCTGGGCTGGGAGCTCTGGTTCTGGGTTCCATTGAAATGAGCAACCTCAGCCCTGGCTTTGGGGGATTTGGTTTCCTTGGAAGCGGGAGCAGGCAGGAAATGAAGGGAAGGCGGCCCCGCTCCGGCGGGCTTTACCAAATGCCGAAGGCAGCGGGAGGCATTTCCTGGTGCGGGCTCTGGAGCATCATTCCCGGCCCCCAGCAGAGCTCCAGGAGGCATCACCGCTGCTCCGGGTGGGAAGCGGGTCAGCGCCCTGCAGCAGCACGGGATGGAGAAGGTGCCGCAAGCTCAGGGGTGCGGGGCTCCAAGGACGGGCACGGCGCTGGCACCGCGCTGGGGCAGGAGATGCTGGTGGGGAGCGTGCTCTGCCCGGCTGCGGGCCCCTTCCCGTGCTGGCTGCCTGAAGCCGTCTCCATGCAATCGCTGGCCTTTGCGGAGCCGCTGCCCTGCCAGCCTGCAGCAGCTCGAGCTCCAAATCCATAATTCCTCTGGCACCCCGTGGTTATTTGTGAGCTGCTGTGAGCAGATGGAAGAGCTCTAGATAAAGCCATCCGCAGCACGGGAGCCGGCTGCCTTCCCCACACAGCCGCGTAGGCACGGGCAAAGGCAGGGAGGAGGGAAGGGAAGGGAAGGGAAAGGAAGGGAAGGGAAGGGAAGGGGGGAGGCAGAAAGAGCGAGAAGGAGTCAGCCATTGCTGCCGGGCTGAGCTCCATCCCCGCACGCCCACACGCGGGGCGCGCGGTGACACCGGGCTGGAAACGCTGATGCGAGCTGGCAGCGCTGCGCTCCCGCGGGGCCCCCGTCAGCGGGGCAAGGACGCGCAGCGCACCCGGGCCAGGCTGGCACCGCCGCGGCGGAGAGCACGGAACGGGGCTGCGGCCGAGCCCTGGGCCAGAACAAGGCCCGGGCCCCAAGGTGCAGCAGAGCTGAGGCTCCCCCGGCTGCAGCAGCTCCTCCACAGGGATGTGCCGGGCTCAGAACTCATCGCAGAGCATCCCTGCTGGGCTCCTGGTCCCTGCGCCAAGCTGAACCCAGGGAGCAGCAGCAGCAGCAGGAGAGAGCTCTCCCCATCAGCTGGGGGCAGATGGGCTGCTAAGGAAGGTGGATCTGGGACTGGGATTTACCTTTTAGGGGAATAAACCAGCACAACGCTCCCCAATCCCCCCCAGTCTCAAAGGCCGGTACCCCAAAAGCACTGATTTAGCCCTGGCCACAACCATGAAGGCAACGGAGCCAGGGTGCCGGCTGCTGCCCCAGTTCCAGATGGATCCAAGAGCCGCAATACGCAGCACCACGGAGCATGGAAGCCCAAGAGATGCCTCCTTCCCCTGCCCTCGGTGCCCCAGCATGACTAAAGGGCTTGCTTGTTCAGAAGCTGGCAAGGCCAATTAATCTAATGAGGTTTTGCAGCCAGGGACTATTGTCAGCCAAGAAAGGCAGAGCACTGCAGAGCGAGCGCATGGGTGGCTCCTGGAAGCCAAGGGAATTTGGCAGAGCAGAGCTCTGCACAGGCAGGGATGAAGAGCAGCAGGGATGGAGCCTTTTGTTGCTCTGCACCAACTGGCAAAGCAAACCCAAGCCCAGACGTGGCACCTGAACACAGGGCCCCGAGCCATCGCTGCTGCGGCTGGGGCCAGGCAGCTTCACTGCAAAGGGACCCTGGGAGGCTGAAAGGGAAGCAGGAAAGCAGCAACAGCAGCTCCCTCCCACCCCAGCTGCAGTGGCCAGAGCCCAGGCTCATCCCTATGACAGGGAGCACCCCCGGGAACCTGGACCTCCTGCCTTGGCACCGCTGGTCACTGCGGGCAGCACTAAGTACCCCCAGCCATAATCCTCCATCCACCTTGGCACGGTGCTGGAAGAGGCTCCAGCAGGGATGGTGTTTGCAGAACAGCTCTGGGACCTGCTGGTGCCTCCATCCCTGTGTCCCCGCACCTGTGGTCAGGAAGCAGGCTGGGTGCTTGATGGAGCACTGATTGCAGCCGGGCTGCCCAAGGGAGGCCATGGAGCTGCTGCGAGGGCTGGAGCAGCTCTGCTCTGGAGCCAGGCTGAGAGAGCTGGGCTGGGGCAGCCTGGAGAAGAGAAGGCTCCTGAAGGGGAGACCTTAGAGCAGCTCCAGTGCCTGAAGGGGCTGCAGGGAAGCTGGAGAGGGGCTTGGGACAGGGCCTGTCCAACGTGCTCTTGTGGAAGGTGTTCCTGGATGAGCTTCAAGGTCCCTTCCAACCCAAACCAGGCTGGGATTCTATGGAATTGCAGCAGCCCCTCAGTCCAGGATCTGCCCCTATCCACATGCCCAAGAGCACGGCAGGGTCCTCACTGTGTGCCCGCAGTAACACACCAGGCACTGGCTGGATCGAAAGGTTTTATCAATTTTATAGTTTTTAAAAAAGGATCAAAAATTCTTTGTTTTTTTTACATGTACATTACAAAAATCTGCAATTGGGAATCTTCATCCAGGGGTTTCTGAGCTGATTATGGACACCAAAGAAGCAGGAAAAGCCTGGCTTACCCAGCGACCAACAGGGAGAAGCACAGCGCAGGGGAAGCCAGGAGGCAGTGAGGATACAGATATGGACACAGGCTGGGCTCTGCTCCCGCAGCAGCTTTCAGCTGCATCTGTGCACATGAGGCAGCAGAGCCCAGGCATCAGTGTTTGTCTGCAGGGGTAGGAAAACCCAACAGTTCTGCTCAGGAGATTGGTTTCTCTGAGCAGAGCTTAGGGTTGAAACTCCTCTGGTGTGATGTGAGGAACCCCCTGCACCCTGAGAGCATCCCTCACCGCATCCGACCCCCAGCCTGGCTGCGTCCTCCGAGGGCACTTCCCATCTCTTCTCCTGCCTTAGCTTCTGCTCAGCAGTCAACCCCTAAGATACAAGTGGAATCATTAACTCTTATAAATATATTTATATCATGTAGGAAAATAAGGCACTTGAAGAGGGTTACAGCTCTATGTCTAAGTCTATGTCATTCTAACCGGGAAGGAAAAAAGGGTTAGTTTCTGAAATGAATTAAAATGAATGTTAATACAGGAATAAACACATTGGATCCACTTCCCACTTCAAGGCTTTGTTTCAAAAGCAAGAGGAGAAAGCACACCCTCCCCTCCCCAGATCCAACAGGAATGAAAGCTGGCCTCTGCCCCCCACCAAGCCCTGCCAGGCAGCTCCGGCAAGGCCAGGTAATTCCCAAAGAGGCACCTTCAGTAAGTTCCTGGCTTGAATGATAATGGTGACCACCACATCCCTTCCCTGAACCAACATTCCCTGCTTCCTGGGCCGTGTGGGACCTCCAGGAGCCCCTTTCCTGGCTCTGCTCTGGTGCGTGGAGCCTGATAAGGAGAGGAGAAGGCAGTGAAGGTCACCGGCTGCGGAGGAGGCTCCGCGGGATGAGGTTTTCCCTGGGAAGGGGGGTGGCGGGGGAAGAGGCTGCTGGGAGCAGCAGCCAAGCACTGCGGGCGAGGACACCGGGAGAATGTTTAACCAGGAGCATGGAGCCGGGAAGGGGAAGGCAGCAGCGGCCTGCCCCGACCTGCACACCCCGAGCAGCCAGGCCGGAGGGAACGGCTGCTCCGGCTCCGCATAGCCGTACGGATACAGGCTGGGATGACATGGGAACAGGGGGGTCCTCCTGGGGGGGAGGCAGAGAGCAGGGAGGGTCCCCACTGCCAGCTCTTGCTTTTGGCTTTGTGAAATGCTTGAGGCTTGCCTGCCACGGGCAAAGGAAGGAGGAAGTTCACATGGAATGACATGGATTGCAGGGGAGCCCAGCACAGCCCCTTGGTCAACATGGGGCAGCAGCCCTGCAGTTCCAGCACAGCTGCTGTGTCTTGCAAAGGTTGTTTTTGGCACTTCTCCTCTTCCCCTACTGCTTTCAGAACTATTCAGCTTACTTGGTGGCCCATTTTGCAATGCTCCTCAAAGGCAGCTGCTTTAAAGCAGTTGTTTCTCAGCGATCACCACATCGAGCTCCTTGTGCAATCAAAGGAGATTTAAAACCCAGCACCCAGCCTTCCCTACCTGTCCACAACCCAGCTGAGCTCCAGCAGGTCTGATTCTGCCAGTCTGAGAGCAGAGGGTGGTAACCAGCAGGCTTGCACGGACAAAGCAGTGTCCCTCCTGCTGCCAGGAGGGCCCTGCAAGCAAGAGAAGCAGGCAGAGAAGCCAACTCCCCGCTGGATCGCCCACACAGCAGCCTTGTGCAACAGGAACCGTGTCCCTACCACCCTGAGGCCCGGCCCTGCCTCACAGACCATCCATCTGGGGCATGGAGAGTATGGCACTTGCCTGGATTTCCCACGACAGGAATACTCACTCCCCCTATCTCCACAGGGATCAGGGCTCTAGTTAAGGCAATTTAAACTGAAGCCAGGTTTGGCACTGGCAAGTTCCTCGCTTCCCTGTGTGCTAATGCTGTCAGCCTGGGTTAGCTCAAAGGTCTGTTTTCCCCAGGAACCTGTCTCCGAGGGAAGCCAGAGGAGGATGCTTATGGAAAGAGCAGGGAAACAAGAGGCAGCGGTTCTCCTCTCACCCCCCCTCACCCAGCTTGCAGCAATCAGCACTTTGCATTGCCAAGTCTCTCTCACCAGCACCCGAGGGGTTTGTTCTCTCTTCCAGAACCTGGAACTGGTGCTGCTCACATGTTCCCAGCCCATGGGGATGCCTCGGAGTCTACGCCCTTTGCATCCTGCCTGGCTTGACAGGCACAAGCTCCTGCTTTAGCAGTCCCGTAAATCTCTGAGGGTCACACTGGATCCCAGCTTGATCCACACCCCAGAAAAGCCCATCCCCTGCTCTGGCAAAGACACGCACACAAGGCACCAGTAGGAACACAATGGCACAAACTGAAGGCATCAATCAAAGCCCAAGAAGGATTTGCAGCAAGCTGGCAGCCTCTGCCTGGGCCTGGCATTCCAGGTATGAGCAACACCATTAAACCAGAGGAGAAGGAACAGGCACAGGCTGGCAAAATACCTGATGGTAGGAAAGGCAAAGAGGCTGGAGGAACATGCAGCTGGTCCCACCCCACCACAGCTGGACCCGTGATCTCCAAAAGGCTTTGGAATTGCTTTCTGGCATGAACTCCACTGAAAGAGTCACGTTCAGATTACAATACACATCTGTGGCATCAGGGGTATTTGTTTCTACATTTCCAAGATAGGCTTATATGCTATGGAAGGGAATATAGACCAGGAACAAAACCTAGGTCAAGCCCACTGTTTTCTCCCCTTGCCAGTCCTGGATCTGTAGTGAGCAGCCTGGGAATTCACAGAGTTAGTGAGGAGGAGAAATGTCCTCTTAAAATTAGCTAATGAATTAGAATCACAAAATTGAAGGAAATGAAGTGGGTTAGGTCTGATGGGCAACTTAGCTCCCACACAAGATGTTTTTAGGCACAGAAATCCCCCTCCTTTGGAGTAAGGGAAGAGAAAGCCAAGGGAATACCAGCGTTTTCTGCTCCTCATGTCCCTGTGTACGTGGTCACCCCACTAGAAAGCACCTCTCCAAACTGCCTGCAGCATTGCCAAAGCTGGCCCAAGTGTCTGCTGCTCAGAGAACTCCTCTCCACACCATTACCCTGCTCAAGGCACCTTTTTAAACACTCAAGTGTGAATTGGAGGCATCAACAGAGCAGTTTCACCACAGATGTGTCCCAGAGGGACAGTGGCTCTGCTCTCCCACAAGTGGGAAGCTGAGGAACCGTTGTGCCCCAGCTTTGCATCCCTTTGGGCAAGCCTCCTTTGGCCAAGCAGGCCAGGAGGCTGGAGGAAGGTAAAGGCAGCTTTTGCCAATAAAGAACTCCCTCCTCACATTGCACGCAAAGTGCTCCACAGCCCTGGAGCCAGGAAGCACATCCCAAGCAGGGCAGTCTGGAATTAATACTAGGGGGTCAGAAGGGAAAGAATTATGTGCTATTGCCAAAACCTGATGATTCGACAGTGGGATGCAGCAGAGAACTGACATTTCAAGCCCATTTTCTTGCAGCACTACCAGTGTTCACTGGAAAGGGAGAGCCATCAGATCTGCTGTTGCCATGAGAAAACTAGCTGAAAATGTCCTTCATCTGAAAGGCCATCCGGCCGCACCAGGATCATCCATCTTTACTTTCAAAATCCCTCTGGATGGAGGGTTTAGATGCGCTCTGCCTGGTGGCATTGAGAAGCTGGAGGTTTAGCTCTCTTTTAAATAAGCAACCGTTACACCCCCTCCAGCTAAATCCCAACACCACCGTGGCAGTGTCGATGAGGAGACCTTTGGAAAAGGCAGAGCACAAAGCACTGCCAAAGCCGGAGGGGGAGGGAGAGGGGAGATATGCTGCTGGTTCTCGAAACCCATGGCACATCTTTGGTTACAGGTTGAGAAGGGCAGTGGTGGAAGGCTTGGCCACCTGATTCTTTAAGAAGAGGTTAGCTCAGGAGAGAAGGGGAAGGAGGGGAGTGGGCTCTGGTTAATCCGACCATTCGTCCTCATCGAACTCGGAAGAGTCGTCCTCAGAGTCGCTGTACTCCACAGCGATGCGGCGCGACAGGATCGTGGCCACATCATTGCCCACAACGTCCCGCTTCTCCTGCTCCCGCTGCTCCTCCACCTTGCGAAGCTGGAAGCCTGTTGGGAAAGAAGGCAACGGAGGGGATCATGCAAAGGCTTTGGTCACACAGAGATCTCCAAAGCAGCCATCCCTGTGACACAATCCTCTGGGCAAGGCAGCCTGTCTTGGACACGCTGTGGGGTAACACTGATGGTTAACGACAGGCAAGACAGGCTGGGTGGGCAGGTGGGAATTGTTTCCATGCTCCTCTGGGGGGTTATCACCATTAACCCTACCCAATCCACTCACAAAACTGGACCCCACCAATCCCAGCACTGCTGTCTCCAAAGGTGCAGGTGGAGTTGTGAAACCTAGCGAGGTGGTGGGACAAGGAGAGACCGCAAGGGACAGGTCTCGAGCAGTGAGGCACTCACACCACTGCTCAGGAGATGGCTCCCAGGGGCTCTTCACATGGGTATGTGAGGTTTTCCAGAGGCAAAGGAGAAAGCACTGAAACAAAACCTTACCCTGGCGAATAGCTGAAAGCAGATCACTCCTGGCATCACTAACCGCAGGCAAGGATGACTTGGGCTTGGAGGTGGAGGTGTCTGAGGGTGGAGGGGGAGGTGGGGGGCCATCCAGGCCCCCAGAAGACAGAGGGGGTGGGCCAGGAGGCGGTGGTGGTGGAGGGGGAGGCGGCGCACTCCCACTGCCCGCCTGCGGCAGCGGAGGCGGGAGCACGCTGGCATACTCGACTGCAGGAGGGGGAGATGGTGGTGGCGGGGCAGCAAACTCGGGGTGAGGAGGGAAAGAAGGGGGTGAGGGGGGGGGTGGTGTTCCTGGTGACGGGAATCCCATGGGAGGTGGTGGAGGGGGCGCGTTGCCCATCAGTGGTGGTGGCGGCGGTGGCGCCGGAGGGGGAGCAAAGCCCGGCCTGGTGGTTGAGGGGGATCCAATGGGAGGAGCTGGTGGTGGGTGACTGGGGCTGACCAGGCTGGATCGTTTGGTCCCTCCAGAACCAGAACCTCTTTGGCTGTCTATAGGATAGCTGTTGGAGCAGAGAAAAAGAAGGCTATTAGTTACGTAGACTGTACAATGTCAGTGCTAATGCAAATCATGTGTGTTTGTTGCAGTGCAGACAGAAATATCCAAGTTCCAGCTTTAAGTGGTGTTTCCAGGAGACCTCACTCCTTGTTTTTAATTCCCTTGCAGTGTTTCTCTTGGCCTACACCACTAGAACAAAGGAAGGCTTCTGCAGACTGGCAGGAATGCTATCACCCATCTCATCTCCCATGCTGGCAAGAACATGAGCCATCTCACCTCCATGCCAAAGGCCAGGCATCAGGGCTGAGCTCAGAGCAGCCTCCTGGCTGAAGAGCTCCTGTAGCAATGCAAGGCACTACCCTTCGAAGCTGAGGTCAGCCTCCTGACACCCCGAGCAGGGATGTCTACCATGATAAATCATACAAAATATCCTGATGGGAATGCCAGGAAAGCATATGCTCTGAGCACCTGCTGGGAACAGATCTCCGCACCGGATTCCATGGCTCAGAGCTCGAGTGCAGCAGCCATGACTCTGAGCTTGCTGTGGGGAGTGAAGATGTGGAAACCCAACATGCTCTTAAGCGATGCAGGAGTGCCTAAATCTCCCATTTAGGGAAGTACCAAAGAACGCTACTGCCCATAAGACACTACAATATCCCATAGATGTGTAAAGGAAGTCCTAAACTGACATCTCCTTCCACAGTAAGACAGTAACAGTGCTGATCTGAGACAGACTACTGGGGATCAAACCTCACTCCTGGAGTTCTTTATAAACAAGCACCAAAACAAAACCAGGGAAGGGAGAGCTCTGTGCCTAGGCAGAGATCTAAGCAACTGCATAAGGCAGCATCTGAAAGCTTGTTTCTGCTCTGCCCTAGAGGAATACGCTGCTTGGTCTCTCTGACACATCAGAAGAGCCTTTTCTGCAGCACTGCTGCCTTTGGATAAGATGGAGACAAGCTAAAACAGTCCTGTCTACCTGACATAGCCCTTCCTGCTACTCTTGACTGTTTTACTGCCTTAGATTTACTCTTGTTCCACCCTTTGTGTCCTGAGCCACTGCTGGACCACGATTCCCCTCTCTAGAGGTGACTGGAAGTCACCATTTCATCTGACACAAAGCAGTTGCCCTGAACCTGCACCAGAGTGTCTGGGAAGAAGTCAGCTGTGTGCTCGAGTCCGTTACATTTAACCACATCTACATCTTCAGTGCCCACGTCAAAGATCACAGGGCAAACAGTAACAAAACACAGACATGAAAGGAGGCCTATTTGCAAAGCTCTATCAGGAACTACAGGGTCTGGAACAACTGCACTTGAAAACCAACACAATGGAGCCAGATCGAGTGGGACCCTGGTCTTACAGAACATGAACTAAGTCTATTCCAGCTCTCCCCAAGCCCATTCTCCCTTCTCTATGGGAACAAGGAGAGTGGTTGGGATTTATGGGTGTGCTGCCTGTGCCTCTGTCCCTGCCTGCAATTGCACATCCCCTCAGACAGGAGCATTCTGATTCCCATACAACACCCGTCAGGAAGTTATGCTGAACTATCTCAGCCTGTCTCATGTCATCCTTTTACACCACCTACTACTCCTCGGTGACAGAAGGGATCCCGTAGGCTTACCTAAATTCCACCGGGGGTGGAGGCAGGCTGTCATCTGGGAATGAAGGAGGTGGTGGCACAATAGAGTCAGTCTGCGGCGGTGGCGGGTAGCAGTTCACGTCCATGCTTTCGTTGGAACCGATGCTGCCGTTCTGATACACCATGTTAGAGGGGTACCTGGGTGGAAGCAAGACAAGCAAATGTGCTGGAAGAGTTCAAGGCAATGTCTAAAGCTCGTTTTCCCCCTCACTAACAAGAGGTTTGCCTCCTGGAAGGGTTAGAATAACCAACCATGCAGCAGTTCAACCACCAAACAGCAGTGGTATTAACCACATGGATGGCTCAACCTTCAAGATGTAGAAATGAGCTTTTCCAGCAGGAATAGCTTTTTCCAACACAGTGGGACCTGCCTTTAGGTGGGACCTTAACAACCACCACAACAGGACACACAACACAAATCCTTAAAGAAACATAAGGGAAAAAAGCCTCTGTTTCTCAAAGCATCCTACGTGATGAACTATGCAGAGCTGCATTGGTTTGCTCTGCATAATTCTTTGGCTAGAGCTTGCCCAGATGCTCTCCTGTTTGTTGCTACCACACAGCACAACAGCATGAGGATACAGTTCAGAGAGCAAGAAAACACTGAAATAAAAGCCATTTCTATTAACATTCTTAACAACCTGGACTTGAAGGACTCCCAGTGACACTGGGCATCCTTAGTGTCAAAAAGAGATACTCAAAAGATGCCACACAAGTAAGCTGGAGAACAGAATATCAACAAGAAGCCAAGAAACAGCGATGCCATTAAAAGCAAGGATCCAAAGCTCTTCCTTCAGTTTCAGATGACTCTCCTGCTCAACTTTCTCTGAGCTCATTTCACTGTGGGGGGGTGAAACCACCCCGTTTCCTGGGGTTCTGGACCTCAGGCAAATTCAAAGGCACGAACATGCTTCCATGTGAAAAGAGGAGCAAGGAAATGGTGCTGTTGTGCTGCTCCATTCCTCTGCTAGAAACCAAACCTGTTCTCCTATTAAACTAAAAGCAAGTTTTATTTTTAGCTGGAAGAGTGTGATTTAAAGAGAGATTTTTCTCTTCTATGAAAGGAAGCTGCAAGGAGCGAGCAAGTGAGCAGTGCATTGTGGGGAATTCGGTCTGCTTCCAGCCTTGCTGGTGTCAAAAGTTAAATGAATTCCCAAGCCAGAAGTGCTAAAGAGAGATCTGGAGCTTGAAATACTTGGATGGGGACAGCCCCCGCTCCAAGTTGAGGGTGTGAAGAGCCATTTGGGAAATGTAACAAAGCAATCACACAATGCCACCGTGATGCCACCCTGCTCCCAGCGTAAGGCCCAGGGCACGGCGATGGGTAGGGAGCCAAAGCTCTCAACACTTCTGTGCCCACAAGACAGGCAGCTGAGAGCAGACTTGCTACCAAAGCTGTTCCTGCCACCTTGTTCAAACCCTGCAGCTCCCTGATTTATTTAGCAAATCTTAAAATTAGCAGCCACATTTACTTTGGAGAATGTGATTAGTGGCAGTATCGATCCGCAACGCACAGCCGATCTGGAGGAGCTGCAGAGCAGGGTGAACTGCATCACAATCAACCTCAGCAGGGAGCTGAACCAGAGAGCCCCACACTTGCTTACCCAGCAGGACCATGTTTGTCCTTTGACTCAACAAATTCTTGTCCCATTTTCAGCTTCTCCCACTCTTCTTTCCGGGTTTTGATTTTTCGTGGATTCACATTCCCTCGGTTCGGATTCTCCTTTTTCTCTTTCTAAGGCAGAAGGAAGCAAACAGAAGCTTAGGAAGAGGGAAGGATAAGACAAACCTGCAGCAGTTTCAAGAAGAAAATATGCTCAAAGAGGGATGGAATCTTTAATTTACTTTCCCCATCGCTGCAAGCTCCAAAGATCTCACACACACAGAGGTTGGAGCATAAAATGAGATAGACAACATCAGATTTCCCCAGTGCAGCCTGGCCATGATGCCATCGTTATTCCCTGGCACCACCACCTCGAGGGCAGAGGGAAAGCTCAGCTTCCCACAGCAATTCAGTTTTTGGCCTCTGGGTCAAGCCTGCCGAATCTCACCATCACCTTGGTGGTGTTAAGTGCTTTGGGATGCAATACGGACACTTGCCCACAAAGAAGTGGGCTTCAGCGAGCCTCACTCTGTGTGTTCTACCATGTCCTACATCTTTCCTTTGTTATTCCCATTGAAAAATCATCTCTTTTGATATTTAAGACTCCAGTTGCTCAAAAGCTACACAAAGTATGCTCAAACTGGTTCAGTGCTGATAAAACATGGGTTCAAATCCCCAGGGAAGCCAACCAGAAGCTTCTACCTGGCATTTGCAGCTGAAGTGGTTTTGGTAAGCCTCCCACTTACCCCATTTAATATCAGGGCCTGGTTTTGGCTCCTGAAGGGACATTTTCTTCTTTCTTTATTTTTTCACAGCAGAATGTATCACAGCACTCAGCACACTGCAGTGCTGGGGCAGTGGGATTTGCACAGCTTCACCCCTGGACAGACCTCCTCTGCAACACGGGAAGTGCAGAAAAGACTCTGACTTTCTCCCCCGTGCTATGTTGGAGGACTACAGATGAAGCCCTTATAACCACACAAAGACAGTGGCATTTGGAAAACCAAATGAAGGGTATCTTTGTGCTCTTTAAAGCAAACCAGATCAGCTCAATTCAGGGGAGTCTTTAAGGAAGCAAACCTGACTTTTGGATAGCAGCTTTGAAGTCCAAGCTGTATTAACACTTCCCACCTCCTGTTCTTCCCTGACACACCTCTGTTGGCAGAGATCCCCCATTTCCTCACCCTATGTTTCCGCTTCTCTTTCATAATATCCTTCGTGTCCTGAAGCATTTTCTCTTTCCAAAGGTCGAAGAAATAGGAAGGATCAGTGTAGAATTTAAGCGCCTCCTTGCCATCGTCCCTAGAACAGGCAGGGGGGGAAACCAGCACACACAAATAAGGACCAAGTCACACATTTGTTTGAAGCCCAAAGAAAACACAAGGCACAAGCCCAGAGGACAGTTTAGAAGGTCAAACACCCTGCTCGCACCTCCACCCCCCATCTCAGACCCACAGCCTTCCTTGTCCTGGCTCTCCCCCTTGCTTTTACCCTCACACCATACCTCCATTACGCAACACCTGAAGAGCTCAACTGCTCTGAACAATCACCAAGAGAGCAGCAGGTCTCTCACTTCAACTCCCAGTTGTTTGTGTTGTATTTCTGATGTAGAAAAACAACCAACCAACCCTTCTCCAGCTCAGGAACCCTAAATCAGACCAGCAGCGTCCTTGAAACTCAGGAGTGAGCACACACACACACTCTCCTCCTCCTCTGCAGTGCAGCCATGTCTGGCAGAAGAGAGCTGCCTCCAGCTATCTGTAATTACTTTTTACCTGCTCCAAAGATATTTATGGATGTGGGCTAAGCCTCTGGATTCTGACCCCCTTTCCTTCTACCACCTACAAGATGAAATCAGAGGGAGAGTGCTCAAGAGAACTGGTTCCGCAGCCGGTGTAGGTCACATTCCATGTATCAGACCAAACACAGAAAGCATCTCCAGATCTACAGGAGTCTGCTGCACCCACCTGGGTGAGAGCCATTTACAGATGTATGCTCTGCAGTTTGCACTGCAGCTTTCTGGAAAGGAGCCACAGGGCTATGGAGAAGCACAAGGAAAATGCATCATCTGCACAACACCTAGCATGTTTCTGCAGTGCCAGCCAAGCCTTGCCCCAAGGCAGTCACAAATGTGACAGCAGGTAACCAAATCTCTCATTTTCTATCTATGCTCATTTGTGCAGCCCCAAAAGCAAAGTTTCACATAATCCAAAGAATGGGATTTCCTGGTGGATCTCAGTTTAGCAGCTCAATTTCCCATTGGAAACAGTTACTTCAGGACAGGACAGAATGGGAAATGGCCTCCTTGACAGACTGGGAAGCAAAGCTCATTCTCTGCAGGGGAACAAAGAGCTAAGGAGGTGTTGCAACCATACCTGTAAGGTGAGAGGATGTTGAGAGGTGGAGGAGTACTGCAGGTCCTATAGGTTTCAAGGACAGGCACAGGGAGAGAATCCCTGTCAAAGAGCTTCTGGTCCTGAGTAGTGGAGCTTTTGAAGGCCTTCCTGGTGTTAATGCCTTGCAGGGAGACTGCAAGAAAGAGGAGAGAGCAAGTGAAGAACAGCTTGACCCAGGCCATGCTCACTGCAGCAGTGAACATCTGATTTCAGCTGGAGTTCTTGGCGTGCTTTGCACTCCTTAAGGTCAGGTTCCTTTTCCCATAGATCCCTTGGGAAACCCAGCAAATCTCAGACGATGCTGTGCCAAGATCCACTGCTCGAGCTGTATCGACACAGCTCTCTTGAGAGCTGCTGCTGTGGTTTTGAACCCCCATGACCAAGACTCAAGCACCACACTGCTATCACGTTGCTGAAAAAGTGAGTTTCCACATGGACACTTGCTAAAGAGCAAATCTAGGCTTGGCCACAAAAGCTGTCCACACCAGCAGCACTGTGGTTGTTCAGGAAGGGAGGGAACAGTCCTTCTTGAGTCCCAGAGAAGACACCCCACCACCCATTGCAGCATCATTTTATGGCTGTGAAACAACCATGCTGATTCAAGGAGAACCTTTACCATGCTTGGTCTGAAAAGACCATGCTCCACTCTATTACCTTCCTCCTCTTTGGGATCCAGCTGAGTGACTTTGACTTGCAAGCGGTCAACTCTCTCGACTAGAATGCTCACCCGAGAGGCAAAGGTGTTGGCTTGAGTAAACAACTCTCCAAATATGTCTTCTGCAAATTTACCTGGAAGAGCAAAGGGTCCACATTACCCTCCGGAGCCACATCAGACCATATTCAGTCTCCCAGCTTGTTTTCTAAATCAAGAACAAACCAACCATGCTTCTGTTCAAGTTTGTCAAGAGTTGAGCTCAACACAGAATCATAGATTGGTTTGGGTTGGAAAGGACCTTAAGATCATCCAGTTCCAACCCCCCTGCCATGGGCAGGGACACCTCACACTAAACCACGTCACCCAAGACTCCATCCAACCTGGCTTTGAACACTGCCAGTGATGGAGCATTCACAAATTCCTTGGACAACCCATTCCAGTGCCTCACCACCCTTACAGGAAAGAACTTCTTCCTTATATCTAACCTAAACTTCCCCTGTTTCAGTTTGAACCCATAACATCCAGGCAGAAAACTCCCTGTTCCACCAAAACCTGACATTTCCAAGGGACCTTCAAGCAATAAACAATCCAAGACATACTTCCAAGTCATTATTAAAGTAACTGAATAAAGAGGGCTGAAACTGGATGACTCTTGTAGCTCCTTTAAGATTCTCTGCTCTTCTGTTTATTAGACAAGCCAATGCAGTTGGATTTGTATTGCTCTGGAGAAGCTCAAAGGCTCCCTGTCTCCAGCAGGCCTGCCTCCAGGGTAACTGCCACTATTTACAAGCTCAATGAGAGAGCAGCCCCAGACCTCGAGCCTCAAGCCTGCGCTCTAACCACAGCCAACAGCACTGACCCTTTTGTTCCTTCAGGTGGCAGTGTCTGAAAAATTGATGCATTCACGTTTCTTCTCCATCAAACCCAAAGGGGAACTTCTCGAAGAAGGATATTCTCTCTGTAACAGCTTGGCTTGCTCAGTGGGCTGCTCTGACAAACATCATCCATCGCTTGGGCTGTGAGAGTGCCCAAGGGCTTGGAGCAGGAGCTTGCTGTATCACTCAGAAGCACAACAAAAAGCTACGTCCTGTCCTTAAGAGCTTCAAATCTATGTGTGCATCAGGAGGTGACCACAGGTAGACAGAAACGGGAGAAGTGGAAGAAAACCAAGAGCTTCCAATGAGTAGTGTCTTTGTTCTGCTCTCAGGCACAATCCAAGCCAGGGAGCCCAAACCACAGCGAGGACAATGCTGATCAGTAGAGACTTGGCACTGAGAGCAGACACAGGCCCATGGAATTCCCACTGATGGGAAACATTCCCAGCCACGGCTGGTGAGTACAAGGCTGCTCCCAATAAGCAGTCTGATTCTGAAGTGCATCATCATATGGTCAACAGTTTGTTCTGGAATCTGTTACTCTGAAAGATCCTCACCGACATTCAGGAAAGGATAACCAGTTGGAAGCCTGACTTGAACAGCAATTTGGGAAAAGCTGGTTGTCTGCAATGAGTCACTTCAGAGAGACAAGAGCCTGTTCCCCAAAGCAACGTGAGGACATCCCCCAAAGCCCAGCTGCACAAATACTTTCAGCTCTCTAAAGTGGCATATCAGCTACTCGTTCATACTCCCATGCAGCTCTCCTTACACTGCCAAGCACGGGGAAGCAGCCAGGTTAAAAATCAACCTCCTCCACACCTTTTGGTGGCAATGCCAGCTTGAAGTGTTTGTAGAAAGCAAAGGCTGGAGGTTCACTGGACAATAATACAGTGGGAAGCTTTGGACAATACAGACGCCATGTACATCTCTCTAACCAAACACAGCCAATGTTTAGCTACGGGCTAATTTGCTACCTCCCAGCAACAGCACAGCAAAAGAACAGTTGTAATTTGGTTTCTACTTTAATGAGAACTGAAACTCAGTGTTGAGTCTCACAAGGAACTGCAACAAGCATAAGGGGAAAAAAAGAGTCTTTGGTTTGCAATGCCAAGTGGTCTGTTTCAAGCAGGAAATAATACATAAAGAGCATTGTATGTGCTGGTCTTAACCCTGGAGGCAGAAGGGATGCTCTGTAATCCTGCCCTGCATAAGTTCACCTGTATGGTTATCACCCAGCACCCCAAACATGGACACTTGTGAATGGGGTAAGGCAGGGATTGATTCTTTGGTTTAATTCCTTTGACTGCAAAAGTGCAGTTCACAATCCGAATTCTCTCTGTCATGCACTGGCAGGAAGACAGACAGCATGATTTAACAGCGCTTTCCATCTTTAGCTTCTGGATTCTATAACATCACACCGAGGTGCATAGCCGACTTCGACAAAGTGCTACCAGCTGTGATAGTAACGAAGGGTAAACTCACTGGAATATGAAAGTTTGACAAGATTTATGTTTGCATCTTTGTAAAGAGACTCTGCTGCACTAGGCATGGCTGATTATTCACTTGACAGGCCTGTCACAGCCTACTGAACCTGTGCTCCGTTCCTGCAATATCCAACATATAGGGAAGGAGTGGATTTAGGTTTTGAAGTAAGAGAGAGAAAAGGAGGAGGGAGCAGGAGTTTAGCTATCTGGATGTGAATTTTCTGGAGCAGTTAAGTCTAAATAGTGCTTCATTTACAACCCTGCTGACCTTAGGGAAGCAGCTAAGAGGTGGTGCTCACCACTTCCTCCCCACCTTACACAGTGTCAACAGAGCCACCCCTCCAGTGCTCTCCTCCACATACCTGTAATGGGTCCAGCACCACGCACCTCACTCCCCACATCACCCAGGAAGGCACTTGCCCAATAAACCAGGCTGGAATTTGGCTCCCAGCACTTCACCCACTCTCCGACAAGATAGAAGAGGAGAAGCTTTGAGCTGCGCAAAGGTGTAAACCTAGAGGATCTCACTGCAGCTCTGTCACACTTAACCCACTGCAGGCCTCTGGACTGGGATTAGCTTCTCTGCAGCTGAGCTTTGCACAGCTTTACTGCCTTCCTCCTCTCCATTTCACAGGCATGAGATGGGTTTTACTTGCCCTCCGCAACCATCTTGGCTACCAGACCTAACAACGAGCAACAAGGGCCAATTGAATGTGAGCAGAGACTGGTCTTGCCTGTGCAGTGACATTTCTAGAACCCAACGGGATGTGACACCGACTGGCAGCAAACACAGGCCCAGAGGTCAGTGGCAGCCATGGTTTTTACTGCTGTAAAGAGCCTGCACCCACACTTTCCCAGTCACATTCATGCTATGGCCGAAGGAGCTTGCTTTGCAGAGCAAGCAGAAGCATTTGCAACCACCACAGAGAAGCCAAGCAATACATTCACCGGATTATCAAAAGTCTTGCTTCAAGGGCAAAGGTGGCTCATCAGAATCCAGAGCATTCCACAGAGGAAGGAGTCATCCCCCAGGGACCATAATTAACTCTTAGTTTCTCCTACTGCATGGAAGCCTGTGTTTTCCCTCTGGCCTTCACAACACATTGGTCAGCCCACTGCAGAGCTGAGCCAGGCACTGCTGCCATCTGAGCGAGCAGCCCCAAACCCCCCAGAGGCAACACTTGGCTCAGGGTAGGGACTTTGGGTCTTGCAAAGCAAGCACCAGCAGGGGCAAAGAGGCAGCTTCATTAAGACTCCTGACAGAGTGTATATCCAACACAGTCAAGCTCCATTTAGTAGCGTGTGCAATTACAGGCACATTCTCTGACACAAGATCCTGGCTGCTAGGAGAGCCTCCCATTTTACAAGCCTGAGTTGTGCTCCAGCCTTCCATCTGCAGTTTCCCTGCAACCTCTCACACACACACCCATATATCCACACCCCCCCTCCCCATTTTCTCTTAGCTAGGAAGGCAGTGGGACCGGGGATATGAAATTAGCATCAGATTCCTTTCGGAAAGCATTTTAGCATTACCCAGGGAAGGCAGATGGGGGAGAAATAGGAACGCTGGAGTAGAAAGGGAGCTAAATAAAGAGCACGAGCGACTCCTGAGGGCACCGCGCAGGCTCGCCGGGGTACTCACTCAGGCTGCCCAGCTGTCGAATGACATTTGCCAGGGTGATGTTGGTCATGCATTCCAGCTCGCTCCGAACGCTAGGCAACGTCTGACGGCACAGGTGCCTTGGCTCAATGTTCCTCGTTACTAACGGCATGGTGGACCTGCTTCAGGCACTGTTCTGCAAGATGAAAAACAACCCAAAAAAGAAACAGGAAAGGATTACTCAACCACAAATTCCAGGCACACCAGAGCCGTGGTGTTCAGTTTGCCTGCTCTCAAATGGCTTTATTTATAAGCCTTCTTTCCCCCCTAACCCCCTCTAAAACTGGTTGATCAGAAATGAAAGATCCTGCTGTTCTATGAGTTGCAGCGAGAGCAGAGCCTCAGCAGCTCAGGTGGAGAGGCAGGAACAGATCACTACACATCTTCACCCCCATGCAGGGTGCTGCTGGCACCACCGCAGCCGCTGTTCCCTTCCTCCCCAGCCGCTGAGCCATCTCCTGCCTCATGCAGGAGTGTCTCACAAGCACAGCTCTCTTCAACCTGCCATCGATAGGGTTGTTTAACCCCAGAGGAAGGAGATGTTAGGGGGAAAAGAACGGCACCCAGTGTCTTCTAGCTGAGCAAAGCATGCGTGGTGCCTCCCTCCTGCAGCAGCACAGGCTGGGCTCTTCTGAAACAACAGGAAGCGCTTGCAGCTGACCAGGAAACTTTCCTTATCCTGCAGGCTGCTCCCCCTCTTCCCCTGGGAAATCCCCCGGGGCTGAGGTTTACACTGGACCATTGTTTTCCTGCTGCAGCAGTTGAGGGAGCTCTCATCAGGATGCAGGGCTAAAGGGAGCTCACAGAGAAGTCGAGATGGACTGGACAAGAGGCAGGCCGAAGTTCCAGCTCTTTAAAACAAATAGCAAGTAAAGCAGAAAGCCCAAGAGTCTGGAAGGCAGAAAATGCTTTTATGTGCAGGAACTAACAAGAATCTCCTTTACTAACAGGCCGAAACACTGAAGCTTCTTCTGGGATCATCCACCTCTGAAAGAGAGGAGGAAACTTGGCTGAGCATCTCCAACAAGGAGCACGATGCACTCCTGCAATCCTGAAGTGATAGCAACTCCATCCCAAGCTCTTCCTTAACTGAGAAAGGGAAAGAATCTCTTTTCTAGGTCAGAGGAGGCAGAAGAACCCCAGCAAAGCAGGCAGTGCCCATGTGATGGGCATGCTGGGGCTGGGGGTATAAATAAAGCAGGAAGCGAAGAGCTTGGGGAACACGGCTTCCTGTCACCAGCAGCAAAAACCCAAGGACCAGGAAAAATCAGCTGGTTGCTCTTGACTTTGAGCCACCCTTTGATAGGCTCGGTGGCAGCTGGCAGCTTATCTTTGAGGTCCAGGAGGCCTTCCTGGCTGCTTTTCTATCAGGGTGTTAAGAGGAAGAAGTGGGCATTATCCCTCCTAATTACCTCACAAGCCAGATTCTGAATTGCTAAATCTGACCCATTAAGGCAGAGGAGTTTAAGAGCCACAGCACTGGGCTGGCTCCCAGACCAACAGATGCAGGTTGAATGACTCTCTATGGGGAATTTGGAGGTATTTGGGGTCCCAAACCCATCCACCTGGTGGAAAAGGGGAGCAAAATCTGCATGGAACCAAACACAAAGCAGTGAACTCTGTGTTGTTCTTCATGCCCAAGCACTGCAGCAGCCCTCAGTCACTGCTGGGATATTTAAAGCACAGGGTGAATGGAGGAAGGACTCTGACCTTCGCTTCCAAATACGTGGTTTATCGATCACAGCCCAGCCCTACAATCCTTTGTCAGCTTCAGTGCTTTATGCCAGACAAAGTTGCCCAGCTCCCCCCTAGACTGCAGTCTGCACCACCAGGCAGCTCACATCAACAAGGCAGGCATTTGCAGGCTGCCTGCATCCAGCTTTTCTCCCCCCTTTGCTTCCGCAGGGAGCAGCCATGGTGGGATGTGCAGAGCCGGAGTGGACAGAGCTCATCCACCAAAGCCTGGCTGGATCCCTTCCAAGGACCAGGACAGACAGAAGGAAAACAGCACGAGGGGAAAGAAGCCAGGAAAGGGGGTGAGATGTGAGCATGGATGTTGAAAGAGAGACCCCCCCAGAAGAGATGGGCACAGGTAGCGCTCATCTGCGAGGAACAGAACATGGAGCAGTGCCCCAAATGCCCATGAAGAAACAAAGACCTGGAATAGGTTCTCTCTGTACAGTGTTTGCCTTCAAAGCAGGTCTGGAAACTAAACCCAAGGAGGAGCGGAGAACTTGCTTTGTTTTTGGGCAGAGGAACAACAATGTCAGCACAGGGACAGTGCGAATCTGCACCGGTGCAAGCCAGCAGAGCTAAAGGCTAAGAAAAACACTCCCTTTATAGCCTGGCTCATCCTGGCAGCCACCCCCTCCCTGCCACACTCCACTGCAGCAGCAAGAGTTTCACCCTCGTGATGGCTCCGACAGTGGCTTCTCCCCAAGGCGACAGAGAGAGCTCGCTCCCAAATCCAGTCGGGATCCAGCAGGCAGCGGGCTCGGGAGATTGACCCCGTGGAGATGGGCAAGGACAGGATGGGCTGGGGACAAGAAGCCTTTGCTCTCACAGCAGCCTCAGGGGTAAGAGGCGGTTTAAAGGAAGCTCTGAGCGGAAGGACAAGGAGCTTAAAGGTTTCAGATGTTTGGGTAGGGTGGAGGCAAGATAGGAAATACGGGACCTACAACCAGAGCCTGGTGCCAACATCAGCAGTTGATGCTCCCCCAAGAAGGCACTTCTCTGTTATACCTCAGCTGTAGAGAGATAGATCCCAGCTAATGGGCTCCTGTAAAACCTTCCTGCCTCACGAGAAGGTGGGACAAAGGTTAACAGCAGTCTGGATTGGGAACCAAGGGGTGGAGTTTGCAAGCAGCACTCGGGGCAGAAAATCGAGTGTGGGGAAGGGACAATGGCAGCAGAGGGAGAAGGAGGAAGCAAAACAGGGCAGACAGCACAAGGTATAAAGCTGGGGACAGGGAAGAGGCACAGTAAATGAAACAAGGAAGGGACAGACCTAAAGCAGCTTTTCAGGCTCCTGCTTCTATTCTTTAAGAGAAAGTCATTAAGGAAGCGATTGACAGTATGCTCCCAAGCAAGGGCCATCCAGAACCGCTTTACTTTCTGTGTCAGGGCATGACAGCACAGCAGTTTTCCACCCCAGCTAGCCAGAGTGGTCAGCAGGCATTAGTCTCTGTCAGGAAACCAGTGCAGACTATATATTAGAACTAAATCCTACCATTCAGGAGCATGTGAAATGAATTGCCAGGCCCAAAATCCTTATCTTGCAGGCAAAGAGAAGTGCTTCCACTTGCTTATTAATGGGGAAGATTGGGGCTGTCTGAGTAGCAGGGTTTGGGGTGCAGAGGCTGGTTTTAAGAAGCTGCAGAAGTGGCACACCATGGGCACAGAGGATCCTCATCCTGCTGCAACAGGAGAGGAGATGAGAGGAGATCAAGTACTGTCAAAGTAAAAGGAAACTGCCTCTAAGTAACAGAAAACTGCCTGCAACAGATTCCTAATGAATATGGCAAACAAAGGCATCGAATTGAACCATGTGAGGGAGGAGTGCTCTTTGCTGGTTGCAGGATAACACTGGCTGGGAAAGCCAAGCACTGCTGCAGTAATGGATGTGCAACCACCATGCTTCACACCTCCTCATCAACAAGTAGTAAGGGCTTTTCTTAAGTAACAAATGCCTTTTCTCACCCACTTGAAGCAGAACCTTCCTACCTGATCCCCGCAAGCTTTTCCTCTGCAGTCTCCAAGTCACAGCTTGAATCAGAGAAGGCTCCAAGCCCTGTTATGTCGCAGTGACTAAGAGAAAAACCATGCTTTTGCCCTGTAGCTCTTTCCCCCCCACCTCCAGCTGGGCATTGCCAGAATTCCTCACCATTCCCCCTCTCCCAAAGTGCTTACGCTGATCCCTGCGAGCTGAGCTCACCACTCCTACATTCCTACCCATCTTCCAGCCACAGCTGGCACCTTGTTTCCAGGATTCACCATGCTTTGGCTCCCCATTACCCTTCCTATCAATTCCTGGGCTTTCCCATCACACACCCCTTGTATTTCTCCAAGGAAAAGGGAATCACCATAGAGTCATGGAATGGTTTGGGCTGGAAGGGACCTTAAAGCTCATACAGCTCCTGCTCCTACAGGCCTCCAAAGCCCCTCTCCAGGTTTCCTGCAGCCCCTTCAGGCACTGGAGCTGCTCCAAGGTCTCCCCTTAAGGAACCTTCTCCTCTCCAGGCTGCCTTTCCAAATCCAGCACTTGGAGCAAAGCACGAGGCAAACTCAAGCTCTGTCAACTGCAAGCAGCAGCTCGGAGCAAATACTCCTTACCAAGCAGTTTGGAGCAGAGCAGCGAACAGCAGTGCACAGCAAGAGAGGAACCAGCCTTTATTTTGTGTGCAGACAGCACAGTCACCACGGTGGTGCAGAGGAGAAGGCAGGCAGCACTACAAGGTGAGATGTGTATGTGACATACACAAAGAGCTGTAAATAGGAGGGAGAGACCTGGCAAGGGTCTTCTCACTAGCAGCTGACCAGCATAGCATTACTGGGAGTCACCTGGGTAATACCCCACTCAATGTGACACACAACCTCTTAGATCAGGGACCATCTGCAAATCAAGCTGAACCCCAGCAGCGCTATCATCTGTCATCGTGTCTGGTGCAGCACAAAGCACCTAAGGAGGACATTTTGGAGGGAGATGGGAATTAAGCTTGATCAGGGTGACCAATCCCCCTGCCCTTAGCAGGGCTTACCAACCCCTCTGCCTGGCCACAAACAAGCAGCATAGTGAAGGAGCAGAAGCCCTCAGCTTGGAGAGCTGCCTTTTGGAGTCCCCATTAGGGGACCAAACACAGCAGCAGGTTTGGGAATGAGGGAGAAAGGAGATAATCAGATCTGAAATTCCCATCAGGATGAAGTAAGAGTGAACTCCGTCGCTTGCCAACGCAGCCCGACTGTTCTTTCTAATGTCTGTGACAACTCTGCCTCAAATTCCAAGCTTCTCTCAGCAGTAACTACTCCCCCATGTAGCTGTAATGGCCACGAAGAGACTGGCTTTTATGTAACCCCAAAAGACTAGCAGGAAGGGAAGCAGCAGCCACACACACACACGGAGAACTGAGGGGAAGGCTC